ACTAACCCATATCGATGTTAAAAGCTGCCTTAGCACTAGAAATAAATGTTAGCATAAGCGAAAAGGGTATATCTGTCTTAAGAGATGGTTGAGAAAAATATTTAAAAATATACTATAAATACATATAATAATAAAATAACGAATAATAATTAAACAAGCAAATAAAATAATTCACATGTTTATGTGACAAGTTTTTGGAAGCATATTAAATTATTGTACTTGGACTTAGGACTACGAAATGTTTTTATGTTTCATACATAAGTGAGATAAATATTAAATAAAGCAAATACCACAATATTTTATACACCGATTTTAACCAAACTCAACAAACAACAATAAACGAATTGCAAAACTGTTAATGATTTTAGCGCCTGTATCCTGAAATACCTATAAGTATATAATATATTTTGTAGTTGCGATAAAAAAAAATACTACAAATTTTTAGATGATTTTTAGGTAAATGCAAATGTAATTTTGAATTGTATTACTATGTTGAAGTTCACAAAAATCTTAGACTTAGATTAATATCTAAATGCAACTAAAACTAACAGAAATAACGAATTAATTAAACAATGAATAGCAGGAAAATACTAATAATATTATTAATATTACAATAACTGCGATAAACGAACATCTAGTTGATTTAAATGTTATATTTAATTTTCATATAAATATATACACATATACATATACATAAACAAATACGAATACGAATACGAATACAAAACTTACATATCAAACAAAATACGATAACGTCCAACTAACAGATAATTTATGTTATATATTATTTAAGATGATTAGAAAACAATACGAGAAAATCTATGTTTATAGTGTGAATTGCTTTAGCTAACTATGGTAGAATGAAAAAGTGTTAACAATAAAAATAATGATGAATAAAGCATTTTAAGTACGCAAATTACAACTTATTTCACTTCAAATTACATCATTTATTATCTCACCTATCCCATTTTATACTCGGCCACTTGATGAAGGACTTCACTTCACTTGATCAAGGTCTATCCAGTCGTCAGTTCATTTGTCTATCGAAGTGCAGGAAAAAACCATACAACGTACATTTGGAATACATTTGGTAGGTTGTGTCATGATCCTTGGTAGTATTAATATTTTTTCGAGCTTTCAGGAATATCTGTTAAATATTATATAGTTTGCCACCTAGAACGGCAAATGTAAGCTCACTCACAGATCGACTTTGAAATGTGTTTTACTGGAAGCGATTCCAACTATGTTGAAAGCTGAAAATTCAAATATGCAGACTAATCTGATACATCAAAGCATGATCTGATATTATCAAGGTTTAGCTAGAACTAAATAGTATATCATATTTAAACGTATCGATGTGCAGCATCAGGTCTAAGAATACATGATTCCAGCTGCATTTGATACAGTAGTTGGCTGTAGAGCATCTGATATCCAGGTAGTCCCACTACTATCTTAAGGCAGTGCTAAGTAATATTGGATCAATTAGAAAAAAATATATATACCGATGAGCCCATATTAAAAAGATCTTTACAACAATTTTTTTTGTATATCGCATTTATTTTATATATAATTATA